TAAGTCAACGATGGAGAATAAACCGCCCTTGCCTAGGCTCAACAGGACCTTAACCCCGTTGTTGAAGCCTCGACGAGAAATACTTCAGATTCACAAGAACGAGTTCCCCATTCCAAAATCGTTAGCTTACAACCCGAATAGGTCCAAGAGTCAGTACTGTGAATACCATAAAAACCAGGGGCATGATACGAAAGATTGCAGGGAACTCAAGCGAGAAATTGAAGTCGGAGTCAAATCTGGAAAGTTTCAGCAATATGTACTAAACACACAGGGTACTCCTTGAGAAAAAGAAGGAAAGTTCGCGGCACCCCGTAATTTCCTTAGACGGAACAATAACTGCGGCCCTCAAGGAGATAATCGAGGAAACAATTGGCAACAAAGGAATAACTCGCAGCAGCCTGCCCAACAATCCCTGGACGGAGGGCCACAGCCGATTCAGCAAGTTCCTCCTCCTGATCCAACCAAATAGATCACTCACAACGTAGGAGCTATCTACAGCGCATCCCTTGAGGTCTTGTCCACAATAGCAATGAAAGCATCACTTCGAGAAGTAACTAAGACACCACCTCAAGAACCAAGTCACAAACAGTTCAAAGGGACGGAGGCAATAGTCTTTACGGACAGTGATGTTGTCCCGGGCATCCGTCCACACAGTGATGCAATGGCTATCGAGGCCATCATAGGAAATGTCAAAGTAAGCTGAATATATATTGGTAACGGAAGCGTGGTGGATATAATATACAGTGAGTGTTTCAAGAAGATGAACGTAAAAAATCCAGATTAGCGTCCCGCTACATTACCGCTAATGGGCTTTTTAGGGCACACGATAATCTCTAGTGGGATTGTCAGGCTTTCTATCACGGTAGGGTCACATCCTCGAATGGTAACTCTAACAATAGATTTCGCCATAATCAATGCACCCTCGCCATTTAATGTGATCCTAAGACGGCCATGGATGTGTCAGGCCCGCGCTGTTTGGTCACCCTACCACTTGGTCATGAAGTTTCCAACAGAGTATGGGGTAGGAATTATGCAAGGGAACCATTGTAGTTCTCGAGAATGCTTACTCACAACGGTAAAAATCGGAAAGAAAACAGTAAAGCCAGAGCTGGCTGTCACCACGTCGGGGTGTTACTCTGTTCAACAAGGAGTGTTACCAATCGAATGTAAAGGGGAAGAGCAGGACATGGATCTCGATCATCCCAGCAGCCACCACTGAGCAGGAAGACAAAAAAGGGTTTATCCTAGACGAGAAAGAGCCAGAAAAGACAATCAAGCTTGGAATATCTATAAATGAAATCTTGCGAGTCGAGGTAATCACCCTATTACGCGAATTTTGAGATATCTTTGCTTTTTCACCATCTGATATGACTGGAGTTCCTTGAGAAGTCATCGAGCACAGGTTGAATGTCGACCCCAATGTCAAACTGGTCAACAAAAAAAGAGAATTTTTGCCCGCGATCGCAATAACGTCATTAAAGAGGAAACGCTCAAATTCGTCCGTGCCAACATACTTTAGGAAGTCCTTTGGCCAACGTGGCTAGCCAACCCGGTCCTAGTCCGGAAACCGGATAATTCCTGGTACATGTGTCAGGATTACACGGACCTTAACAAACATTTCCCTAAGGATTGTTACCCTTTACCCGTCATTGATCAGATGATCGAGGGCATAACTGGTTTTAGAACACTTAGCTTCCTTAACGCATATAAAGGATACCACCATATTCTTATGGCTCGAAAAGATGCAGAGAAAATAGCCTACATCACAGAAATTGGAGTCTACTGCTACGATAAAATGCCCTTTGGCTTAAAAAACGCTGGAGCCACCGATCAGCGTCTAGTCAACATAGTTTCCACGATCAAATTGCGCGAAACATTGAAATTTATGTGGATGACATGGTAATCAAGAGCAACCTCAACAACAAGGTAGTCGAAGACATGAGGGAGATCTTCACAATTCTTCGAGCAATTAACATGAAGTTGAACCTGAAGAAGTGCACTTTTTGCGTCTGCTCCAGGAAGTTCCTGGGCTTTCAAATATCAAAAGACGGAATAAGCATTGATCCGGCAAAAGTCGAAGCAATTTTGTCCATGGAAGCTCCAAAAACAGTCAAAGAGGTTCAAAAGCTTACGGGATCCCTAACAGCATTAAACAGGTTCCTATCTCGAGCCGCAGAGAGGAGTCTCCCCTTTTTCAAGACGTTGCGAAAAGGGAGGAGTTTTGCATGGACTGAAGAGTGTCAGACCGCTTTCCAGGACCTGAAAGAGCATCTCAAACAACTTCCCATGTTAGCTAAACTGGAGCCGGGAGAAACCCTATACATTTATCTGGCTGCTCAAGAAACTGCTATATCCGCGGTTCTCATTGAGAAAAAAGTGAGCAAAGTCCTACAGAGGGCAGAATCTCGATACACTCCCATGGAAAAACTGATACTAAGTCTGGTGCTTGCTGCTCGACGGCTTCGTCCGTACTTCCAAGCTCACCCAATTCAGGTTTTAACCGAGCAACCTATACAACAAGTTCTTCTCAAGCCTGAGGTTTCGGGCAGAATGATGAAATGGGTCGTCGAGTTGGGGGAAAATATTATCGAGTATAAGCCTAGGACGGCTATAAAAGGGCAGGTATTTGCGGATTTCCTTGTCGAGACGTCGCGCGCTTCAGACACCATGTCGGGACCACTACCAAAAACACCATCACAGAAACACACTCCTGCAGATCCGCAAGCTTGGACTCTTTACGTTGACGGCTCATTTTGTGAAGATGGCGGAGGAGCTGGGATTATATTAGCCAAACCAACTGCGCCACAGGAAATCGAGGAGATGAAAGAATATGAGGCTGAATATTCCTATGCTTTGCGGTTTGGTTTCCCGGTAACCAACAATGTGACTGAATACGAAGCAATGATAACACGGTTAAACATGGCTCTAAGGCTAGGAGTCCGGAATTTGGAAGTTTTTAGCGACTCCCAAGTGGTGGTTAGGCAAATTGGCGGCGATTACACTGTCCGGGAAGAGTATCTCCGGCCATACCTTGAAAAAGTCCTCGAGCTCAAGGACAACCTCGAGAAATGTTCTATCTCCCTCATTCTCAAAACCAGCAACAAAAGAGTCGATGTCCTGAGTAAGCTAGCTTCGTCTAACTTCGCACAATTAAGTCATAAGATTTGGGTCGAAATGCTCCCTGAACCTAGCATTTATCCCCGAGTCTCTCTTACTATCACAGAAGATGGCGAAACATGGATGATTCTATTCGTATGGTTCCTCGAAAGCGGGGTGCTACTCGACAATAAGTCAGAGGCTCGAGCACTGAAACTGAAGGCAGTCAAGTATACACTAAGGAACGGAATCTTGTATATGCACGGGTATTTGTTGCCAATGTTGCGGTGTATCGGCCCCAAACAAGCAGCCTATGTCCTCGAATAAATTCATGAAGGTTTATGCGGCGCCCATATGGGAGCAAGAGGATTAGTTAAAAAGGTTCTTCGAGCAAGATACTTTTGGCCGATAGTTTTCAAAGATGTCTACCAATTTGTGCAAAAGTGTGATAGCTGTCAGTGGTTCTCACCTATCACTCGGCAACCACAACATGAAATGGTAACCATCGAAAGCCCGTGGCCGTTTTACCAGTGGGGCACTGACATCATTGGCCCTTTTCCAAAAGGGACAGGAGGACTACGATGGGTTATCGACTATTTTACCAAGTGGGTAGAAGCAAAGCCATTAGCCTCGATATCCGCGAGACAGGTGTTGAATTTTTTCTGGCAAAACGTGGTTTGTCGCTTTGGAGTGCCCAAGGTAATTGTATGATCCGTTCAAGTCATGGTGTGCGGAGATGCAAATCGAGTGCCGATTTTCCACGGTGGCTCATCCTCAAGCAAACGGCCAAGCTGAGTCGATTAACAGAACCATTCTATATGGGATCAAGACTAGGTTGCACAGCACCAAAGGTGCTTGGGTTAACCAGCTCTCTCACGTTCTATGGGCATATCGCACTACAGCTCACTCCTCGACGGATGAAACACCTTACAGTCTGGTCTATGGGATGGATGCAGTTCTCCCATTCGAAATCGGTCTTCCTAGTCCTCGAACAATCAGCTTTGTCGAGACAACCAACAAGGAAGACATTCTAACTAACCTCGACCTATTCGACGAACAGCGAGCTGCCATAAAAGTCCAGGAAGCCAAGTACAAAGAGATCCTTAGGAAAGACTATAACAAGAGAGTCAAGAGCGCCGACTTCGCAGTCCGGGATCTAGTACTCAGGAAAAATGAAGCCAGTCGAGCAGAAGCCCCGGGAAAGTTGTTAGCAAATTAGGAAAGACCTCATCGAGTCATTCAAGTCTACCCATCTAGCAACTATTGACTGCAGACAACAGATGATACAGAAACCACTCTTCCTTGATGGTGGAACATTCAGAACCTTTGCAGGTTCTATGTCTAAATTATTTTATGCTATGTGCTATTTTGTTTGCTCTATGACTTGTTATTTTCATTTCCTTCGTATGTAATGCTATCCCGGGTCCCCGGTAATTATCAATAAAAGTCATTACATATTTTTCATACTTTAAATGTGTCGACACTATTTTATGACTAGTCAGCGAGATGGACACTCTCTTAGGGCCATCCTCGATTGTGCCGCGTATTCAACATCCAGAAATATAACCCGAAGATCTTTCCTCGTACCCACCACAGATCGCGGTACTATTTTATCGAGAGACCCGTACCTAGTTCCTCGACAGAGCCGTGTACTTTACATCCAGCCAATCAGCGCTATACAAATTATGCTCGAGTATAATTATACAATCGAAGCTTATACAAACTCGAGATGAATATTTACCCTTACATTGAGTGCGGGGACAGAAATTTACATCATTATACATTTAGATCTTAAGATTCTTTCCCCTAGGATTGAATCAGGATGGCTTAATAACCCCAGAGTACCCAACAGCTCTAAGCTGGTTAATACAATGGCTTAGCTTATTCTTTAGATCTACGATCTCCTAATCTTGCTCGTCGAGTCTAAGCAGATATTCCTCAGCAGCTGTCCTTTCTTTTGCTTCATCATCTGGATCGAGATCATAAAAAATGGGCAGCGGCATTTCTTCATCGGCCAATATGTTCTGTAGAACAACGACTTGTTTCGAATAGAACTCTACTTCTTTGGTTCTCTTCTTTTGGAGATCAATTGGAGCTATGAAACGTTCTGTCCGGACTTCTATCTGTTTCTCGACCAAGGCAAGTAGCTCAAACTTCTCGAGGAACCATGGAGATACCGCAATCTTCTCACACTTCCTCAATCGAGCATTTTCATCCTTCAGCTTTTTCTTCTCGTCGTTGATACTTGCGTCTAGAATCAGGGAATCTTGGAAGTCGAGATCGTATTGATGGAGTCGACGTCTCCACTCCTCCTCTTTTTGTTGAAAACACTGCACCAAGCAAGAGTGTATCTGCACATTATAAGCTTGAACGGCATCCACAATCTCCTTCTCGAAAGCTCTCACTATAGTGGTATTGTGAACGTTCCCGAATTTTCTCAGTGCTGATGAAATCATGGCATACATAGGGAAATGTTTGATCTCATCCTCCTCAAGAATCATCAAATGCACATTATGGACATAATACGGCTCCTGACATAATCAGCAAGAATACATGAATACATCAAAAACAAAGAGAGGAAAAGAGAAGAAGAAGGCATTATGTAAATTCTGAATTGGTAGAATTCATTTAGTAATTACTACAGAAAGCTAAGGTCTACAACCCAGGTAGCAAAAATCCTGTTACAAGATAAGAACTCATACGGCATTTGGGTTGGACGGCATATTTGGTTGGCTCTCACTGGTTCCCTCGACAGGGTCTGAGTCGAGGAAATCTCTTTCTTGCCTGCCGGTTCCTTCTCAACTTCAAGCCCCCGCTCCTCTTCCTTATCCTCCTCGACGTTCTCGGAGGAATCTTCATCGGAAACTAGCTCAGCACCAATGAAATCGCGGTTAAGCTTGGGTACCCGCATCTCTTTCCCAGGCTCAGCAGGTAACACCGTTAGGGCATCTCCTTCAAAGGAGGTGATTTCCGAAGGTGAACCCATTTGGGGGATGGCGCTACACAAAGGCCTGAATAGAGGGAGTTGTTTAGTGCCAAGATGCATCAACCCATTCTTCATTGCTTCATGCAGGGTTTTGTGAGGATGCGGTTTCATGAATGGTTTTAACCAGCCGGCATTGACAGGCTTTCCGGATTCCATCCTTTCGAGAGCAGCAACAGCCACACCATGGCCGCCTAGTGCAATAGCTGCTTCACTGATGCCCACCATGACATTGGCCATCCTTTCAGTGGGCATCATTCTGGCCCAAAATGCAGTCATCTATTTCTGCAACTCTGTTTTGGGCATATGGGTTTCCCCATATTCCTTCAGTTTGGCCTCGAGTTCCTTATACATGGCCTGGGCAGTGGCCAGCTCTTCCTCCTTGGTAGCTCGCATTAACTCCTTGTTCTTCTTTGCCTCCTCGTGGATTGCCTTCTCTTGCTCGAGGAACCCCTTCTCGAGCTCCAAATTGGAGATTTTCTCCCTTAGCTTCTTTTTGCGCATAAGAATGCTCGCCAAGGAGGTTGTTAGCTGTCGAGATTGCAAGCAAGAGATCAGCATAAATTGAAATGCTAGTTACAAGCAGTGAATGCGGAAAACATCTGTGCTGGTAACACTTACCTTTTTTAAGGCTTCTTCATCAGTCATCGTTTCGGCTACCTCTTCTATTATGGGGCATTCAATTCTATCATTCCTAAAGTGGAATATGGCGGCGGCTGCAGTGTATGATGATGACCCTGGAGAAGTGTCCGGATTCTCAGCAGCGCCCTTCTTTCGAGATAGCGGAGGCGGAAATGTTGTAAACCAACTTGTGTCTCGTTCTGCTTTTGGATTCCCATCTTTCTTTGGAGGGACATTGCCCTCGATGGGATTACTCTCCTTGACAGGCTTATCCTCCTAGACTGTCTTATCTTCTTCGACGGGTTCAACTTCCTCGACCAGCCCTTCTTTCTCAACTGGAGGAGCCTGCTTCTTCTTTTTTGACTTAGCGCCTGCTTCTGACGCTTTCACTAGTCTCATCAACTTCCTCTTCTTGTTGACCTTGCTTAAAGATCCTTCATCATTTGAATTTTTAATGTCAAAAATCTTGGAGTCACCAAACAAGCCAATGGTGTTCTTGCTCGACGACATAGCCTAGAACAAAAAGAATACACAAGAGGAGTTAGTACCTTTTTTATCCTTGACAGGAATTGGGGGAATGTACTGCTGCACTTTTGTCCAATTGAGATCATTTTTTAAGGATTCCAGAGCAGTAATGTCATCCCTATATTGCTTGATCCTAGCCTTGTCGGATTTAGACCAGACATCAATTATAACGCCCATCTCCTGGGATTCACGATGATCCCAGGTCACGCGAAAATCCTCTGGAGCCTGTACAAATAAATAAGTTAGTTTTCACACTGAAGAACCATTGAAGAGTTCTATTATCTCCTTCGCACCCGACTTGGGATTCCTCTTGACGTTATACCAGTCTTTGTATTTCGTCGAGGGGACACAGATTTTGAAAATATACCTCCACACAAGTAATCGAGGTTCAACCTTCTTCAACTCGCAGAGCATTGCAAATCCGAGGACTGCCGATATCAAGTTTGGTGTAAATCGAGCAAGAAAAATCTTGTAGTATTGCACTATATCTCCAAACAAAGGGTAAAGGGGGGAATCTTAGCCCTAAAAACATAAACATATCATATACAGTTATTTTCCCCTCTTAAGGAGTAGTAGCCCTTTTTGTGCCTAAAGGTGCTCGATATTCTAGATCTACTGGAAAATCGTACTTTTTGGCTATTGCCTTGGCTTTATCGGCAGAGTTTATGGTGGATGCAAAGTCGGAAACTATTTCGGCAGCCATATCTACCACAACATATGCAAATATGATAAAATTCAGGCAAAAAAAAGGTAGGTTCTAAAAATACAAGAGAGTTGGAGGACTTACTTCTATCGGAGTTTGGGGATGTCCTTCTGGATTCTGTTTACCCAATGCAGCGAAGCTCTTCTGTTGCCGCTAGTCGTAGGACTCTCCGAAAGTATAAGAACAAAAAAAGAACTTTACCGGAGGACTCTCCAGAGTCTTTAGTCTTTTCCCAATATAAGAACAAAAAAAAAGAAACTTCTTCTCTCTCCCACGTCTCGGCCGTTGGGACGGAGTTCAAGGAAGGGCAATGATGACGGAGCTGCCATTTGGGGGAACGTGCTCACTTACTACGCGCGGTCGTATTTTTTGGGCGGGATTCCGGATCGGATCATCTTCCGGGTTGAATCTTAACCCGCGAACTAAACCGTCAGGCCTGTTTGATGGGTCATGGGCCAACGCCTGCTTGATTAACTTGGGCCGAGTCCAGGTTAGCAATATTTTGTGTTAAGTTTTGTTTATTTCTTATAACCAACACTTGACATGGGCACTTGACGAGTCCATATCCACCACTGGACATGGATCGGCCCAATCATCCCGCCCAAAGTCCAACCGAATGTGAAGTCGGCGGTTTAATATTTCTAAACCTAGTAATATTCGGATACTTTTAAGGCCTATAAATAGGGATGATTACTCCACAATTGAGGTACGCTATCTCTGGCACCAATTCACATATACACACTATTTCACAATCCTATTTTCTGACTTAAGTTTCGGAGTGTCTACCCTCGGAAGGCCCCGAGACTCTGTTTACAGAAAACCCTAACTGGAGTTCCACCACTAACCCGGAAGCGCAATTTGAGGCATTGTCAGATTCTGTCATAGTCAGTTATGGTTCTTCGATTCCTATAACCGGTATAAGTGAATCAAGTCTTAGTCAAAATAATACTACCTTGCCTCTTTCGAATGTACTTTTTATACCTAATTTGAAAAAGAATTTATTATCGGTTGGCTCTCTAACTTCTCAATTTTCTATTAAATGTGAATTTTCTGATGTTGATTTTTCATAAAGGATCGACACACAGGTCGGTTACTAATGAAGTGGTGTAAGAAGGCTGATCTCTACACTATTTCTAATCATCCACAAGCGTATTTTTCTTATCGATTTAAGTCCAGCAGCAGTGACCTATGGCATCAACGTCTAGGCCACCCTTAGGAGTCTGTTATTTCCCGTTTGAATTATTAGTATCAATGGTTCCATAAGAACACGTCATTTATGTGATAGTTGCCAACTTGGCAAACTTAGTAAACTTCCTTTCGATATGTCTATTAGTAGGTCAAGAGCAATGTTTGATAAACTCCATTGTGATCTTTGGGGGACAACCCCTGTTGTTTTGTTGTCTAATTTTTGATTTTATGCTTGTCTCGTGGATGATTATTCCAAATACATTTGGTTTATTCCTTTAAAGAAAAAGTCTGATTTCTTTACTGCTTATTTAGCTTTTGAACGATATGTCACCCGTCAATTTAATAAAAACATTAAAATTTTTCATTCTGATGGTGGCAGAGAATCCATTAATAATCAATTAACTTCGCATTTTCTTGCTACAGGCACCATTCACCAAGTGTCATGTCCTTATACTCCTGAACAAACCGGAGCTATCGAACGTCGTCATCGCATGATTCGAGAATTAGGCATGACGATGTTGTTCCACAGACACTCTCCGATGTATCTTTGGGTTGAAGCATTTGCTACAGCCGTATATTATTCAATCGCCTTCCGTCTTTGGTGTTAAACTTCTCGACTCCTTACTTTATGCTTCATCAAATTAATCCGGATTATTCTACACTTAGGATTTTTGGCTCAACATGGTTTCCCTACATTTGGGATTCAAAGACAAACAAATTTAACTCCAAATCTCTCCTTTGTGTGTTTGCAGGTTACAGTGACAAACACAAGGGATACAAGTGCTTTGATCCAATTGGAAAATTTTTTTTATTTCTCGACATGTGGTTTTTGATAAGTCTTGCTTTCCATTTAAAGTGTCCAAAACAACTTCCCCGCAGCATGTTTCGTCCATTTTTGATTCATGGTTATCTCATTTTGATGCTAATGATGTTTTGTTGTCCGCAGGTCGGTTGTCGTCCCTTGATATACCCCTTCCCCATCCCACGGTTCTTCAACCTCACTCCTCTACTCCCTTAATCATCAACACCACTAATCATTATTCCAGTACAATCCCTTCCTCTGCCACTTTACAGCCCTCGTCCCCTTTGTCATCAACTTGGTATCCCCTTCATCCCCTAATTCTAAAAAATGATAGTCCAATTCAATAGTAACTTCATCCCCTTCATCCCCTAATTCTATATCATGCTTCCACTTGTTTTTTTTTAACAAATAAAATCATGATTAGTTCAGTCATGAATATTTATAATTATGTCATGTTTCAATTCTAAATTCATCTCAAATCACTCTTTTTTCTACTGCTAATCCCAAACTTTTGTTTGATTCTCCCAACAATATCCACAAAACTTACAAATCTCTCACAAATCGATCCCATTGGACCACAATTTTTTTTTAATTTTTTTTTTCAAATCAACTTTAGTTGATTCACAAATTTCAAACAACGAGGAAAGTCACCTCTAATTCAATCCATAATTTTTTTTCCCCGTTGAGTATCCCACATCTGTGGTAGGAGAGGTTTGGTATCAGTATATAAGTCTATGGGCTACTCCCCTCATTGACAATTGGTTTTGAGGTGAAACCCCATGGGCTTCTATATGGTATCAGAGCCAGCCCGTCAAGAGTCGGACTCCAAGCCTGATGTGATAGAATTGGTAGGGCTGAGACGTGAGACGGTGATTGGGCTGAAGAAAAAATAGACAAGCCCAACCCAAGCAATCTAACAACGTCATACAACAATCTAACAACGCAAACAGAAATTCCAAGCAAGTTGTCCAAATATGGCCAGAATCACTCAAGACGGAGTCTACTGCCGTTCATAAGGATAAGAAAGCCGTCAATACAATCAAAACAAACTGAGTCTCCAGCCCCGACTCAGTTTGAGCGAGGATGTTAAAGATCATCATTAGGAGTTTGAGATCATGAAGTCATGACAATTTCATTTTAGTGATAACTAGATGTTAAACCTGTGCGCTGCAGGAGATTTATTTAAACACAATGTGGTAAAATCATTGAAAAAATAAAAATATGACAAATACAAATGATGTTAATGAGTTGTTATGGTATAGATGGTATGAATAAATATAAATTATAAGACCTACTTACAAATATCAAAATATAAATTTGTATGTAATGTCAAATTAAATATTGTGCAAATTGTGAAAGAGTTTAATCTTAATAGTGATGAAAAGTAAATGTCATATTATGTTTTATAGTGGCATGAAAAAAATTAAACAAATTAATATTGTACTTAAATTGTATTAATTAATTTATGAGGACTTTATTTATTATTACACAAATTCTTTTATTTTGAATTCATAGAATAAATCCTATGTGACACTCTAAGAATGATTAACCAGTTTCTCTCTCTGGTTTCTCTTTTATAATATAATTATAAAAGATTTTCATTTAATAGTTGATAAATTTGATTTATTGGTTATCAAAGTGGTAATTATCAAGAATGATAATTATCTAACAGTTCACATGCCTATAAATATGGGATCTAGTCTCTACTCTGTAATAAGCCAATCAATCACAATGTAATTTTCAGATATTATTTCAATTCAGTTTCTTTATTTCTTTTATTTTCTCCAATTTATCATTTTCCGCTAAAAGAAGTAGGCAAAGTGCCCATAAATTGAAGAAATGATTATTTTGAGATCAATAAAGAGTGACGATTGACGATACTTTTCCCGTATTCATTTTCATTTTTTTCTTCTTATTTGGTTCTTTTAAATCTTTCATCAAACCTGTCTTTGAGACAATCAAATAATTCTTGTTGGATGATGCTGTGGAGTTGGTTTCAAAATGGTGGTTGGCATTGCAGATGGTGCTTTGTCGTTTTGGAAAGCAACAACACACTCCCCATAACGACATAAACGGCACATATTTTTTGTATTTTTCTCCTCCTGTCATCAAAATTTTTAATCCGTCATTGGAGAAAATGGTAAAATCTTACTTCCTCGTCTCATCAAAATTTCTCAAAATACTATTGTACATTTCAGAGCAGAAAGAGTAGTAAAGAATAATTGTAGTTGGAAACAAAGAACGAAACTTAAATTACAATTCAAATATTGCATTATATAGATACACAACCAGATGACTACTCGTCTATTCCTAAAATTATGTCTTGTATAGAGTACAAATAAACACATTTTCTTGATCGTTAACCATGATGATCCTTACATGAACGAGCATTAATACCGAGCCATACATCATCTAAAGCACAAAAGCTAACACTAAACTAAAATTTCTTTTATGTACAAACACATCCTACACTAATTAATCAAGGATCAGGCTACTTTATCAACTCTCCCAACATGTACTCCATAATTGATAATTGTAGAAAATTACCAAGTTGCGAGCCATGTGCTTCACGCTGACATCTCTCTCTCTCTCTTTCATTTTCTTAATTTCTTCGAAGCAAAACCATAACTGTACTGGTTTTTATAGGCCAAGAAACCAGAAAGAGACAGCTAAGGTTGATGGTGACGAAATAGAAAATCCTAAAAACATAATTATGAACAAATTCCCCAACTTCCCAAGGTCAAGGGTCAACAGCTAAAAAAACGCATGAAAAATTGGGAATTGAATTCAGTCAGTAAGAAGAATAAGTCGTCCGGTGAAGTACTCGGTCCCGGAGAATCCCGCTGTACAACGCGGCCCTGTTCGCCGGCATTCCTCCGGCTTTGCCTCCGTAATTACGGGTTGTGGAAGCGTCGGAATTAGAATTACTGGCGGTGGCGTTGTTGGCTGATGCTCTGTTACTGTGGAAATTCTTTCTGTATTCATCGCTGTTTCCAATCGGGTCCACCACGTCGGCAGCAAAGTGAACCCTTTTCTTCTTTTTATCTTTCTTCTTCCCATCTGCAACAAATCACATTCCACCACCCACATCATCATCATCAAATCAGAAAATACCGAATATTCAACAAAATATTCCATTAGGACCATTATACAAATCACTTGCATCATCATCATCATCATTGTTATAGTATTAAATTGACTCTGTTTTCCCTCTTCATTTTTTTGGTTTTTTTTTTTTTGGTGTGATCTATGAAATACCCTGCAATTTTTGCATGAAGATGATCACAGTATCCCACGATTGACTTTAAACCAAACATTCTTGATTGACCCAGAAACTTTCTCCGATCACATAATTAAAAACATATGACCCGGTGATCCTTAACTGTTGTTAGAATTAGGAAAAAAAAAAAAGAACGGAAAAATCGAATCTGTTTGTGTAATTACCTGAAGAAGAGGAAGAAGGAGAATTTGACGGCGAAGAAGAAGCGGAGATACAGGGGCGCGGGAGAGAAACAGGGGACTGACCCGGAGGAATAGCGTTGACCATCATTTCAAACTGATGAAGCGTGGACTTCTGAAGACGAAACGCCAGCAGAATTACGGTGCCGGAGACGGCCATGGCCGTCGCCAAGACCATGCCTTCGGAAGTCAAGATTGAAGACATCTTTTTGTGTTTTGTCGTGAAATTTGGACAGAAGAAAGTTAAAAGATGGGAATAAGGTGGGGTGGTTGAGTTTCAGGTGGCTTTTCTTGAAGAAATGACTCTTAAAATGAAGAGTTAAATGGAAGGTTTGTAAAAGTAAACAATTTGTTAAAATATATTAGCATTTGATTTGATTAAGTTATAAAGTCTAATCAAATTGGTTTGGTATGGCCAATTCTGAACATGTCAGCAAATATTAGCTGCTAACTTTTTGTTTTTTATTCCTAGTGTAGAACATTAGAAGACAGAGAGAAAAGCAAGAAAGAAAGAGCCCATGAATGAATATAAAAATAGAGGGAAATGGGAAATTTTTATATACATACAGGACAGGTTTGATTTAGATTAGAGAAATGGAGAAAATGAAAGGGCAGAAAGAAGATGATTGGTCAATTGGGAAGTAAATGAATGAAAATGAATGGGATGCATGCGTAAGCATTTAGAAAACGTTGATTTTGAATAGTGGATTGGAAGATTTAGGGTTGGGGCAGGGGATGGGCAACCGGAGGAGGTCGATTCGGGCATATTAGGGATTATCAAATCCTTAATTAGCCCGAAAAATCTTCTGAAAGCATGATTTAATGTGATTTCATCATATAATGTTTTTTCTTAAAAAAAAAAAAAAAAGGACTCGAGGTTCTGAATTTGCCACTACTTGTTTTGGGTAATTAGTTATCATGCTCATTTTATCATATGTTTTTATTAGAATTTTTGGATCTTTGGTGGGTATTAAATTAAGGTGGATGGATGAGATGAGTTGCCAAATTTTGCTGGAACTTGGGAGAGGAAGGGGTACGTGTTTGTTTGCGTTTGCTTTGCTTTCCCATAATGTTTGAGAGAATTTTGCCAATTTGGAGCAGTTTTGTGTCGGCCAGCTTGCCTGCCTTAGTCGGCTCATCAAAGTTTTTTGTTTGTTATTGTTGTAGTGATAATATACATACACAAATTTGAGAATTTGAGATGATAATTCCTTCTTCTCAAAGGAGTTCATTACCCCCATTGAACTAAGACCACCATTTGCAATCTAAGAAAGTGCTTCAAAACTTATCTCACTTTCTCAATTATCATGTGTTTTAAGTATTTTCCTTTTTTAAATTCACTATTGAAAAGAGGTAAATCGCAAAACAATGAGTTTAACTCATTATTAGTAAAATTGAAGGGCAACATCCTTTATTTAACCATAATCTAGAACACACTTCAATCAAGCAAATCTTTTCGGGGTTTTTTGTTTTTTTTTTCCCTTTTTTTGTGCCTAATGTGAAATGATTGAGTGATTGAGATGAAACCAAAATGAAACATGGAAAGCAACGTTGTTGAGAGATTCGCATTACAATCTTAACAAATGTCATAAGATGTGATATATACGTGCTAATATTGTATTGGAAAATGAAGAATAAATCAATCTTACTTGAATAACGAGTAGGGAAAACGACTGATTTAAAACTTCTTCCTAACACCTAAACCAAGAAAAAGTCAAATCGAAGTTTCTACTCTAATCTTTGACTACAGAAGGAAAAAAATAACACGATGAACATTCACGCTTCGTTTTTAAGATGTCCAAACGCTCGGTTAATTCTTCATCAAACACTTTACGCATTTGACAAAATAGGAAATTTTTTGGCATAACTAGATTTAAAAATTTGATAAGAAACCCATCCAAATGTGATGAATGATTAAAATTTTCAGTACTTCATCTATCCTTATTAACAGGATAATAACAGTAAAGAGGTCCCCTTTCTCTTTATCTTTTTTTGACCTCAGGATAATTCCTATAGAGTAAAACACCAATTTACCCTATTTTCACAATTAATAACCATTTTCATATATAGTGATTGATTTTTATTATTAGTGTACCTAAATCATCAATGGATCAAGTCAATTATACTTAGCAATACGGAAGTGATATCGTATTGACATGCGACGTTGCATTGCCTAACTTCTTGTGATCAAATAAAGCTGGTGGTGATATTTCTCAGAAATAATAATACAAGAAATAGAGCTGGTGAAATAAAAACACTTATTACGGAACGACGGTACGTTTGATATTAATAATATTATTCAAAAAATGTCCATGGTTCACCCTTTCACATGCCCCATTAGACTTAAAACTAAAGTGAAATTGGTCCAATGGTCCAGGCCCATTCCATTGCACCTACTCTTTTCAGCCAACTGCCAACTTTCAAGTTGCATTTTGGTCAAATATTCAGATTGTCTATTACTGATTTACTGTAATGTTTTATATTTTTTTGGTAACAATCGTGTAACACATTTTTTTTTTGTTTATTTGTTTGTTTTTGCATAATACTATGGTCAATATTATTGGTATCATTTACCTGGTTGAGCGCAGTCAAAATTGTAGTTCGATATCCTATGCTATTAGACATGGGTTTGGAGTCTTGTGAACGAAATAGAATGCGACATTGGGAATTTCCCCATCCCCCAAAAGACATTTTGTTGAGAACATCTCATCGTGCGACATTCGCTTTGTTTGTTAGCGAATTCAATTTGTATTTTTGATGGTAAGTTTTTTTTTATGGTATTTTCGAAATATTTAAATAATAATTGTCTCATCCCAGCATACCTTTTTACATTTTCAATACATCTTTTTACATTCACAATACAAAAAACACATAAAAACACACACTAAAAAAACGAAACAAACATATTTTCGCTAGATCTTGTGAAGTTTCTGCGGTTTATTACATTCCAGTTTCCAAAGCCAGACAGGAACAACGCCTAAGGACTAACATTGATTCAAGGTAGGAGTAGACCGCCTTCCAGTTTGATATTTCACTTTTAGTACAATTTGAACTGAAAATGAAAACTTAAACTAGACAATAATTATGGGACGGAGGGAGGGAGTATACTGTATTTGATGGTACTAAAAAAAGTTGACCCTGGCAATAGAATGTCCCCAGGTTTAGTAGTATCATTATAATAGAAATCCATTTTACAGGAGGATGTTTCCGGATGAAGATCTTATCTGAACCTGACATTCAAAGTTGGGCTATCAGGGACGATATGTAGCAGCTCATGAGAATTCATGGTTTGAAAGAAAGATGGAACAAAGAGAGCGACTCCAGAAAGATGAACTGCCAACATTGGTCTACCCTAGAGTGCTTCTCAGGTTGTCCCCAAAGGTCAAGAAATTACATTCAAAACGCAAGCATACAATTGACAATACCATCACTATTATAAAAACGCTCTCCTTTCACATCCAAACCGAAGGAGGAGTTTTATTTTCGAAGCAAACCAAAGCCTTTATAAATCCCCTTGCTTATTATGTAGTGAGAATTGGAGGATAGTAATCCACTTTCCCTCCGAGAACGCGAGCTTTCGTGTCCGGGAAGTGTTCTGTTCCAGGAAGCTCGGTGACCTCGCCATCAGAGGCGACTCCAATCGGGTACGCGAGCAGGTGGCCTGGAAGATCATGTTCGAGGTTTTCACTGGTGTAGAGATCCCAGTACTTGAGAGCTATCTGATTAACCTTCTGGATGCATTCCTGGCTGTCAGGCCGGAGGAATACATCGTCTAACAGGCCTAGATGCTCATACCATAATGCCATCCTGAAGCCATGAATTTGTCCCCTGGCTAGTTCCCTGGTGGAGAGATGGTATGGCTGAAACGCTCCCATCGCGATTTCCGAGTCTCTCGCGCCGTCCATTGATCTCTGGTTGATGTTTGCCGATCCAACAATGATATATTCATCATCAACTGCACCAATGAGAACAAGAAATCGTCACTGATGACACTAAAAGGAAATACGCAATATATAATTGATAAGAAGTGTAATCTGCGATGATCATTAAAACTTCAGGTAATCAGGGCGAAAGGATCATTAACAGGGTAGAGAAATCAGGAGATAAGGAATTACCTATCATCATTTTGGCGTGAACATAGATCATGAACCTCCTGGCTTGTTGCGCTAGATAATAGTCTGTATCAGGTTCTGGTTTCTCAGAAGGTTCATACTCTCCACTCTTCTTTGTTTCCCTGTTACCCAGGCAGAAAAATGTCAAATAATCCTTCGGGTTCGCCACAATGCCCTTTGACCGGAGGGCTTCAGTAATGTCTTTATACATCATTTGCATTGTCCTCCTTTGCCAATCCAGTATTGCTTGTACAGATGAACTCTCTGGAATGCCTTCTGGCCACATAGGAACCACAATGTAAACAGTAAACCTCTCCCCTGCCTCAATCTTACTCACAATCTTGAGAGACAGTTCCTTAGGGATTAGATGCAGAGCGCCTACATCTTCATCTTTGATGTCATTTGAATACCACGAGAATGAGCTTCCAAGGAAATACTGGTTCTCAATGTAAATGAAATGTTTTGCGCGTCGAATTGCATTGATGTAAGCATCCTGAATGCTTCGGTCAATAATGTTGTCTTTCCCACTAACAAGTCCGGATTTTGCTGCTTCCTCAGGAGCTTCAGGGAAACCGAAAGCGGCTCCACCATCAATTGAGCGGAACACCTGAACATTCCAGGTTTCCTGATCATCTGGAAACGTGACTGGAGATGGCGGGATTATGATGCTTTCCAGCTCTCTCAGTTCCACAAGCAAGTCCTTTTTACCTTGTTTCCTCCAACGCTGCTCAAAGTTGAACAGAACATCCCAAGCAGCAGGGCCTTCCAGCCTAGAATGAATGTCATGCCATGGCTCTCTTGGACCGCCTTTTTGAATCGAGGAACCCTCAAAATTAGGCTGGTGGAAATCATCATGGTGGGCTGTGTCTAATGTTCTGAAAAGGGAATGGAACTGCGAATCGTATCTTCCATCACAAAGATCAATACCGCCAACGAAACTCACAATCCTCCTCCTTTCTGGATTCCCATTAGGCAGTTCACTGTCTACAACAACAATCTTCTGGTGATGTGTAAACATTGCTCCTATCTCTATGTCCTGGATTATGCTCCGCCCATCATCAGGATTGCGTGGACACAGCACACAGTGGACTTCACTGCCTTGGAAATACACTTCGGTATCTTCATCGTGAGTCGCCATCAAACCATCCTTTTTCAGCAACCCAACAGAAGTTCTGTCATCCCAAACAAGCATAAGAACTCTTACGCCTTCACTCGCCCTCTTCTTAAGAAGTTCACCCAAAGTCATGTCTCCACCCGGCTTTGGCCTTCTTGAGTCTCTTATCAAGGTGATATTAGTATAGACAGACCAGCCAGTGATATAGATCAGATGCTTTGCATTGTTGATGGCGTCAAAAATGTCCTCCCAGCAACGATGAGGCTCGTAGAATTTGCCACCAGCAAGAGGAATTTTAGGAATGAAATTGTCAGGAACATGTGAGTCCTGGTACAAAGTAACTTTGCATCCACCATGCTGACTGAAGAATGTATATGGAACACCCGGAAACCTTCCACTTCTGATACCTCGAGCCCAAGTACGCTCGCGAGTAACATCAAAAAACTGCACTTTCACATGGATTTTGGAATGACCGTGGATAGGCTTATGATCATTGTCCAGAATAGGAAGCCATGTGTCCACTTCTTCACCTTCCAAGATTTCTTGTACAGGAATATATGCTCTTCCAATTAGTTCTGCCCCAACCGGGTTGTCTAGTTTGACGGTGAATATGACATTTGAAGCCATGTGTGCACAGTATATGTGAAATGACTCATACCATCGAGGATTTGAAGCTTGTTCAAGTAGTCTAGTTCGACCAACTCGAGCTTTCTCCAAGTCAATTGTCGAGTATAGCCTGGAACCAGTGTTTTTGAAGCCAACAGCTTGCTCGAGCCCCCCAACAATCTATAACAGTAGAAGGAGATTTTGAAGATATAGACTAATTTTAGGAAGAAATATAAAGGCCAAACCATTAACCAAGCAGTGGCAAGTAAATGAAATTGAACCCTTCTGCATAACACAACTCTTCAAGAAAGATAAAACATTGTGATATTATAACCGAAAAAGGTAACAAAAAGTTTCTCATATGCCATGAAAAGGCTTCAGGCAGAGCCATTTCATCAAGAGTTCCATTTACAAAGACACTCCAATGAGCAGATCAGATGAACCATATGATTTTACTGTAAATATGCGGATAAACACAAATGCTAAAACAGAAGAAATTGCTCGTCCAACAGAAAAAAAAATTGATAAAGGAGGTATAAGGAAAAGAATTTAATAAAGAAAGCTAGGCTGTCCAGTATTTAGTTGAATGAAGTCAGATTAGTATATCTCAAAGCAATTGAGAAGCCAAATGAAAAACCAAGAGATCGCTACTTCGTAAACTCCATTGTACTAATCTTATGCAGCACTGATCTCTCCAGATTTGAAACTTTCTAGTCTTTAACACTAGAGCCCTCAAACCGGAAAAGTTCTTGATTCAATCAGAACCAGAGATAAGTTTGCAGAAACATAGTATCAGCAGACCAGAATAGAGCTTTGCTTCTGTGCTCCAACTAACTAGTTGAAACCTTTAATCCATAACCTTCTTTTATTGCTAATTCTTACTTTGATCCTTTAACTCCAAAAGAATAGTATGTGAAAAGCAAACAAAAGGACTTCACAATTTTTTGTCTTTCCACTCCACATTTTTTCAACTGACATATGTGAAACCAAGCTACAAAAAATCTGAACTCTGTCAGAGCTTGTATTAAGGATCACCTTAGACCAGACAACAAGTACATGTTTATGATCTGGATATCAGAAAGGTCTTGAGTAAAAGAAAGGTAGAACAGCCTGTTTAACTTCACTTACAACTGAGAACAACAATAAGGTTTAATGGTTTACCTTATGTACAAGGTTCAGACCAAAATTACTATGCAGCTTATCTATCTCATAAACAGTGGCATGAAGAGTCCCATGGAGCAAAATCTGAGCCATAATTTCTTCCTGCAAAACCACTCAATCAACAAGTTCTGGTTTAGGCAGAAAAGTTGCAATCAAGTTTTAATCAACATAATCTCGAAGAGTTCACAACCACTAAAGCAAGTGAAAAAAGAAGAACTACACTCTAAGCTTGCAGCTGAGAAGTGAGGTGATTAATACCTGAAAAATGAGTAAGAAGAAGAAAAATGAATCTAAATTTTAAGACCCTCTAAAAACAAAACAATCAAGAGTTGACCTTCATCAAGTAAATGATCAATACCTGAAATTAGAGCCAAATGCTGGAAGAGCAATTGTGTTGTCCAGGAGGAGGAAAACTGAACTGAAGGAAAAAATAAAATAAAAGAAAAGAAAAGAAAAGGAAGAAGACAAAGTGGAGCAATATAAATGTGACTAACAACTACAACATATCTATACGTATGTGCTAATGGTTCTTCAATTACGAGAAAAGGTTAAGACATGAACTGTCCTGTGTCCTGTCCCATATAAAAATTATACTCCCTTCGTCCCAGAATTATTATCCAATTTGGATTTTCATTTCTAGTTCAAATTGCACTAAAAATGAAATTTCAAACTGGACAATAATTTTGGGACACATCGAGTTCACACATTGTGATTTGTATTTAGACACGAAATAATTGTACTAATACCATAGTGTTTAGTCAATTGATTATCTAATAGTATTTTCTACTACTACGAATGCTAAAAAAATCTTTTGCATGTCGGTTGAAATTTAATCTGGAATACGAATTTCATTGGTTACAAATTAAATATGCAAAGTTTCTCTCTATACATTGGCACAACAGCTAGTATTCATCATTTCATCTTACTAAAGAATCACGAGTTATAAGTTGAATACATAAATGTTACCCGACTTTTGTAGTTGGATTAAGTAAACCATATCTGAAAATAATAATATTTTGCAATACACATCACAATCGTTTATTACTGGAGTTGGGTCCCGATATCAATCCATTGGCTGGATACAAAAAAATCTTCAGCCATATCGGGTCAAGTATTTGTAACCCAATCACTAACCACCACAAGATTGGCCGCGGTTTCTTTCACTATTTCCACAAAGTTTTCTTTTAGAGGGTGGATTTTTAAAGCCACACCCTTTACTACTCAAAGCTACCTAAAAAAATAGACGATTTTACCCCTGTCATTTAATACAGTAGAGAGAGAAAGAAAATAAGTAATTCAGAGAAAACAAAAAAACTTTAAAAAAAATCAAAACCGGACAAGAAAACTGTCCCGGTTGAACCGGGACGCGCAACCGGACGCGTTTATTGCGCGTCCCCGGTTCAACCGGGACGCGTGTGTTGCGCGTTCGGCCATTGAACCCGGTCCAACTGGACGGGCCGGTTCGGTGAACAGTTTTTTTAAAATTTTTTATTATTTTTTTAATTTTTTAATTTTAATTTCATGCATGTTATTTTAATTTAATTAAGTAAGAATATTATTAATTTATTTGTTAATTTAATTAGTTATGTTAAGTAATTTAATTAGTAGAATTTTATTTATTTATTGCATGTTATGTTAATTTAATTAAGTAAGAATATTATTATTTTTATTTGTTAATTTAATTAGTTATGTTAAGTAATTTAATTAGTTTAATTTTATTTATTTATTTAGGTGTAATTAATTAGAGATAATATTTATTTAGGGGGGAATTAAATAATTAAAGAATTTTGTGGAATAAGTATTTAATTAAGTATTGGAAATACAATTAATTAAATATTTAATTAATCGCTAAATTAATGAATTCTAGCTATTTAGGTAGGTATTGGAAAATTTAATTTAGTAAATAATTTTGGATTAGTTGAGTTTTTGAATTTTTTATAATTAATCTTTTTACTGTAAATGTATGTTTTTTTATTATTTATTATAGTTGTATATCTTTTTTAAATGATTGGAATGTGTGTTTCATTTATTTATTATAATACAGTTTTTTATTGTGGTAATTTTATGTTTAATTTGCAGGATTCTGTCGAAGATTTTGGTGGCGATGGTGAAGATTATAGTATATTGTTTACTACAGATGAGGAATTTTCGAAAAAGGATGATGCTGTTACTTGGGTAAAAGGCATGGGCATGGCAAATGGTATGATAATAAACATAGTTTCTAGCAAGAGGAAGAATGATGTTCTGATGAGATGCTGTAAAGGGGGAAATGTGTCAGTTGATGATGGTAAATACTATGTCACATCAGATTCGAAGACACAAATCACTGGGTGTAAATTTAAGTTATATGTGCACTTAGTTGATGGGAAGTGGCGCATTCGAGTGTATCCTGGTGAGTTTGGAATGCATAACCACAAGCTGTTTGATGAAGATCATCCTATGAGGGGCCTTAGTGATGGAGTGAAACAGCTTATACAGGGTATGTCCAAAGATGGGTGCAGACCGTGTCAGATCATGGCTGCGATTGAGAGGATATTTCCTGATGAAAAAGTTAACAGACGGCAAATCTACAATTTCAGGAAGAAATTGCGTAGTGAGGGGTTCCCGGTCTTGGGTGACTCGAGTGCCATGGATGTCGCGACGAAGACACAATCGGTGGCCAAGCATCATCGTTACATCATCATGACATATTGCAATCAGGAGATAGGTGTGCTGACTCGTGTTTTTTTTTTTGCACATCCTGATGCTGTCAATTTATTTTGCACTTGTTTCTGGGTCGTCGGGATAGACTCAACATACAAGACGAACAAGTACAAAATGCCGTTGGTTGAGTTTATTGAGATGACACCGTGCAACCAGAACTTCTTGATTGCATACGCCGTCTTGAGTGACGAGACTGGTGACAGTTATTATTGGGCTTTGAGACAGTTTAGGGATTTGCTTCCTGGTCATCTGTCTCCGGCTGTTATTGTTACTGATCAGGAACCGGGGTTGATGGCGCCGCTGGGTATGGTATTTCCAGATTCATGCCACTTGTTGTGTGTTTGACATGTTTATGAGAATGTAAAGCGACATCTCAACAAGGAATTGAAATTTGAGGCTAAGATTGCAAATGATTTTGCATATGGGTTGTGGAAAGACGTTGTGGAAGCTAAGTACTAGTTAGTCCTGGGTAGTCCTGGGTCCTCGGAATGCATCATCAGGGGACATGGGCGAACGAGGAATACTCTGTACGTAGCCAATCTGACGTATACATCTGTCCGGCATGTATGGCTCTTGCAAGTTCTTATACATTATCCACCCACTGTAGATAGTCCTTGAAACTATTCCTTGTTGGCCAGGTCCAAATGGCTCCCACTTTACTTGCAAAATATTATTTAGATTATTTATAAATATAAATTTCAAAAAAAAAATGAAATACAGTCAAATGAAGCAATCATGTACCTCTAACTCGGTGAAATGATCGAGACGATCCCTAACCTGACGAAGACGATCTGGCACATATGTCGGTCCCGCAAAAGATGGTGGTATCCAGTCATGTACTCTGGGCCTGTCATTACCCCCACGGGTAACTTGCCCTCCCTGGGGGCAGAAAATTAGGAAATACTCGTATATCCAGGCCTGCAGTAGGGTCAAATAACCACCTAACTGAGTGCACTTTGCCCTACTAGCCATCCCTAACTGACGGTATAGGAACGCAAGCGTAGCAGAGCCTCACGAGTATGAACCCATATTCTCGATCCCAGCCATCAGCTCATGTACAAGTGAAACACTGCACCTCCCACCACTCTTGCCCGTGAACAACGTCGAGGCCAACAATACCCACAAGAAAGCAGAGGCCTGGGTATTCTCGTCCGCTTTCTGACATCGCTCAAGGATGAACCAATCAGAAACACCGCCATGACTCCATTTGTAACCATTCACATCCAGGCCAAGTATCCCTGCTGCATGTGCCCTCAACACATCTGTCTCGGACGTACCTGACACTAACTTTCCATCAACCCCAATGCCCAAAATACGATAAACATCATGCATCATGATGGTCATCTCCCCAAACGGGAAATGAAATGAGTTGGTGTCCGGCTGCCACCTCTAACAAATGCATTCACTAAGCCAAGATCAATATCTTCATACGAGGTATGAAGAAGGTGACCTAATCCAGTCCCCTAAATCTTGCCTTTCACTACATCATCCATATCTTTATACCACATCTTAAACTTATTCAGAATCTTTTCGCCTTTAAAAATCTTCAATGTGGGTCTATTGTATCTATGCAAGAAATGATAAGCAATATGCCCAAGGAAGCTAGGAATCACACTACCATCTTTCGGCCCACCAGGTACTTCATCTGTCACTAGCCATATAGTCGGATCAATTTCATCAGAAACTCTCGACTGGCTGCTGCCGCCTGTACCATGAATGAGTAAACCAAATATTATTTATTATATTTTATACACATACAACAATTCAATAAATATAAGTGAAAATAATTAATTAAAAATAATTACATAATTTTAAATAAATTACAACAATTAAATATAGATATTTGGTACCTGATGATGCAATAGTGATAACTGGACGTGTAGATACTCCAGTGGATCCAAGACCTCGACTAGGGCACACGGGATCAATGAGAGGGGGAGGACGTGTAGATACTCCAGCGGAGATGGGACCTCCGCGAGGGGGCACGGGATCAATTTGGTGGGGAGATGACTGAGCGGGGCGGGAGGGACGAGGCCGACTACCGGTGGATATACCCTGTGGGAATTGACCGGGACGCGGGAAAGAGGGACTATAATGTAGACTGCGCCACTCACCACTCATAGGAGAAGGGATAGGGGTAGGGGGAGAGGGTAAACCGTCAGGACCAGGCCGTGGACAACTGGAGTACCGGGGAGGAGGGTAACTACTAAAATTGTACATAGGCATATCTCTGTGATGCGCACCCATCCTAACACTGTCCTGTACATCATCCTCATCAAACTCATTCTCCTCATCCTCCTCATCCTCATCCTCCTCTTCCAGGTCGTCCTGAGAATACTCGGCTGACTAGACCGAGTCTGAAACTGTACACCACCCATATTGACCTGGGTCATTTTCATTCGCTTCTTTAACTCTTTTTCCTCTTTTTTCTTCCGACGACTCATGGTCAGATAACGCGCACGAACCTTACGCTTACTAGTATCTTCAGTATCACTAGTATCACTATCATCATCATCATAACAATAAACCTATAAACAAAATTTTATTCATCATGATCATATTTTCATAGTCTAAACAAATAATTATACACATTTCCTAAATCCTCAACTATTTTACAAAATATTTATATTAATTTAATTAATCATAAACTACATTACAAACAAATTAGATTAACTTTACTAATCTACTATTAATTAAAATGAAAAATATAACCTAAATACTTTAATAACTATTTAAATTAAAGAATTTAATCAATTAAACTAATTAGGTAGTGAACTAATCTACTATTAATTAAATTAGTTTTTAAAATTTAACTAATTTACATACTATTTAAATTAATTTAATCAATTAAAATGATTAACTTTACTAATCTACTAATAATTAAATTAAAAATATAACCTAAATACTTTAATAACTATTTAAATTAATGAGTAAATCAATCAAACTAATTAGATAATGAACTAATCTACTATTAATTAAATTATTTTTTAAAATTCAACTAATTTACATACTATTTAAATTAATTTACTCAATTAAAATGATTAATTTACTAATCTACTAATAATTAAATTAAAAATATAACCTAAATACTTTAATAACTACTTAAATTAAGTAATTTAATCAATTAAACTAATTAGGTAGTGAACTAATCTACAATTAATTAAATTAGTCTTTTAAACTCAACTAATATACAAACTAATCAAATTAAATTATTTACACAATTAATCTAAATAACCAACTAATACAGAACCTCAATCTAAATCACAAACTATTAATTAATAAATAATTACATTATAACCCTAATTACATTAAATTAAACATAATTAAACACTAATAATAAATTAAACAATTTTTTTTTTTTAAAAAAAAACATTCTGGCCAAGAAGCCGTCCGGCGATGGCCCGATAGAGACGCGCAAGAAATGTGTCCCGGTTCAACTCAGAACGAGCAAAACGCCCGTTCCGGGTTGAACTGGGACGTGTTTTTTGCGCATCCTGGTCACGCCGCCGGACGCCCTCCATGGCAGTTCGGCGGCCACGCAAAATAAAAAAAAAAAAAAATTTTCTACCCGCCGGACGGGCAAAGAAGCCGTCCGGCGGCTCGACCGGGAACGCGTCCCGGTCGTGCCGCCTGACGGTTTCTTTGTCCGTCCGGTGGCCAGAAAGGTTTTTTTTTTTCTTCAATTGACAAATTTTTTTTTAAAAAAAAACGTACTCGTGATGAGATCGGCTCTTTCCCGCTTTGATTCTTCCATGTTGCCGTTAATTTTGGATCAAATTAGACTTCAAAATGGGGTTTAGAAGGGTGGTGGCTTCAAGTTTTCTCTCTTTTTTCCTTTAGTGGAAGTTTGAAATGTGAGGGGCAAAATGGTCTAAAAATATTTGCGGTGACTTTAAGTAGTAAAGATGGTGGCTTAAAAAACTAACACCCTTTTTTTATTTTGTTCTTTCTTTTCTTTTTCCCTGCTTTAGGAGGCAACTTCCTTTTAAGTTTTAACATTGAACCTCCATTAGGTTTTTAATAGATACAGCAAAAAGGTTTCATTCTGATACATGCCTCTTTTTCGTTTTTTTGGTGTTTCTTTTCTGTTTTTTTTAATGAGCTGGTCATTTTCCTCCAATTTTACGCTAATTGGGATTTGACACATTACTACTTGTTTTTCATGTATATTACTATTACCCAAAAACCATAACTCCAGCTAATTTAGATTAATACATCCTTCTCTTGTATAAAATAAGTCTATATTATAAATTATAAATTGTACTCCTTCCGTCTCGAAATTATTGTCCAATTTTGATTTTTGTTTTGAATACTAATTAAAAACTCAGATTGTACAATGATTGTGGGACAGATAAAATATTATTTTCAATACAATTTATAGTGTTCAAGACTATTTCTCGAGAAAGGATGAGTATCATTTTAATTAGGAGTTGCAAATAGAGGAAGAAATGAATGGTCTTCGAGTCCATTAAGAGAATGGTTTCGACCCGAATGCCGACAGAAACCTGAATGATTAAAAATGTAAAAACTTGACTTGAGAAAAATTTGGCAACAACCTATTGGTGAAGGCAGAGATCATCAACAAAGTCAAGAAATTCCCAATCAGAATGTTTGAATTATTAACACAACCATAAATCTGATGGCACTTGGCAATTCCAGTGCCATAATAATAACTTTGTTGTACCCCCAGAAATCAGTATCATAGCCTAAATGCACGTAGCACACCACTCTAATGATCTAATCATCCCATTCTCCACCTCTTGATACTCTCTGATTCATAATAATAGTCACACTTTTAAAATCATTCAAAACTAATCATTCCCATCCATGTAATCTGAAACTTAAACTATTTCAAAGGGTTATGAGAGATTAAAAACCTATGTTACTATCCAATATTGATCAGGCTTCTGATTAATGTTATTTATCTTCTTACACATTCAGACACTGGTTTACGCGAAAAGATGGCTTACACTGTGTGCTGAATGGTAGTAATTAAGGATAGTTGTAAAAGTCTACCAAAACAATGAGGTCCATATTGACTATTAACGCATAAGAGATCACCTTTTTCAGAGTCTAAACCCCGAGTGGAAAACGCACTCATGGACCAGGGGAATCAATTATGAAACATCTTTCATTTCCACCAAGAAAGTACTTTTACATTATTATACAGGCACTGTATCTTTTTGTTTTTGTTTTTAGTTTATTTAGATTCCATACTAATTGAACAGATATCCTTGACAAATTTGGCATGTGAAGAAGTAGTGCAAGAGAGATACATGAAAAGGACCATATATATCATGCTGCAGTGAGATCTTGTGCTGTCTTGAGAATGCATTCGATGTCGATTTCTGAAGGATAATGCTGTAGAAGCTGTAAATTGTCCATGAAATCGCCTCTCAACAATCTGGTTTTCACGGACAAAAGCATTGCACAGCAGACCCGCAAAAGCATTTCCTGACCAGGGTTCCAATATGATCAGCTTATGGACTTAAAGACGACAGTTCTATGTTAAGAGACAGTTCAATACTAGTACTTAGTTCAAAGGAAAACCTGAACGCCAAGAGGATTGCTCAAGAGGGAATCCCAGATTCTTAAAATGGTCCGGAAATCGAATTCCTGAGTTAGTAACAAAGTAATCCACCTGAATCCATACAGCTGTGGACCAACCTGCTAGACATGCAGAAATAATTTGAGATAAAATTACCACTGAAGAGCATCTACAGAGAGATATTAAGTTTAGCAGCAACTAAACAGGGTTAGAGAACATGTGCTTTTTAGCAGATTGAAAATGTAATTCAACAATATAATTCATAAATCAGGTTAAATCACCTTGTTTTTAAGCTCAAGATGCCTCCACAATTCCTTGTCATTGGCTTTTAACAACTCAGACAGCCTCAAAAGTGTGGAATGAATACCCGCGGAGCTATTATCGAGCTGTTCACAATAGTGATCCAACAAGTTGCTCATGAGTTTGACAAAACAATGAAAGCTATCAGACTCTGCATTTGCCTGAAAAGGGAAGACATAGAAAAATGGGTTACAGATTCAACTCTTCAACAGCCTTGTCTAGTTGACGATTTTAAAAGTTCATAGGGGTTTCAAAGAAAAGACAACAAAGCATTCAAAAAAACAGCAAGAAGAATGGAGCTTGTAGAAAATCCCTAGAACACTGAATGCACAGACTTTGAGTGAGCTTCCTAAATACCTATAAAACTACATCACATGATTATTAAGTTAAGTGCAGGACCTCGTTAGGGTATTGATCAAGAAGTTAGAAATAGAATAATGAAGCATATTGTCACGTGGTAGTCTTACATTATTATTATTATTATCAGATTCTGTGCTGAATACATAATATAATGGGGCCAAGATCTCATTCATGCCTTGCACATAACGAATTTCAGGATTGAGCTTTGCAAACAGGAGAAGTATGTTCTTCATAGATTCCTGCAAAAGCATTTAGTACATATTAGAAAAGGAAAAAGTCAAACAAATGCATGAAAATATCAGCTTCATTAACCAGCCTATATGTACTGTACTGTTGCAATCTTTTTCAACATTTCGCTCACAGTACCTTGTTTTTCTTGCTTGTTGTTGAGTCCCCTGCAAAGAACTTTAGACTTGGATGTGTTCTATCTAAATCACGGTCTATCTGTTCTCCAATATCCGCAAACTAGAAGACAAAATCCCAGCAATGGTAACACTAACATGCCACAAAACATTGCCAAAAAGAAAAGGGAAAAAAAAAAACGATACAGCATGCCTCAAAAAATTGATGCCAGGCACTAGATTTTCCTAAACACAGAGGATGATCTTCATGTGAGACTTCTTCCCTTTCAAGGGACATCCCGGGGATATTATTGTTACAGATTGCCTCATCTTTTCTCCTTGAAAATTGAGACTGTCAAAGTTAAGCTATATTAGCAAATGCTGACCATCAAATTGACAAAGAAAGAGGGTTAACTACTCTTAAACACAAAGTTACCGGGCTTAAGAGAAAATCCTCTTTTAGCTTAGCATATTTCATTCGGCTCTCTAGCAACTCCTTTTCCCACAGATCACGCAAAGTAGGTAAGTACCCAAGTAGGAGCTGCAAAATGCAGCAATTCCAAAATTCAAAAAGTCAGAATGCAAGACAGGACATGTATATTTCAAATGAATAGATGTAAGCTCCCTTTGTATCCATAGCCAGTAAATGTAATATGAAGACTTGGCATGGATTCAAATGCTTACATCAATCAAATACATAACTCACTCTATAAGCACTCATTCTATAGATTGTTCTATGTATCTGAAGGAGAAAAAAGCGACCATGAAAGTATGGATAAACAGTACCTTCCAAACGATTGAGCGCAATTCTCCACCATCAGCGATTCCTGAACTAGCAATTCCCTGCAGTCTCTCCAGTTTAATTTCCATCTGGGAAAGCTACACCATGAAAGAAGCAACATTATTAACTTGAGCTACATAACATCGGCAAATGCTGTTTCATCCAAAATTGTCTAATTACATTCCTCTGTGAGGCTCTATATGAAATGGTTCATTCTATCCATCAGTCCTAATGAAATATCCCATATAAATTTGCAAGGAACTCAAGAAACACCCTAATATCCTGAATGTAAATATTCATTCCAGAAGCAGACTGAATCATTAAAACCTTAGGAAATGGAAGAGTAAAATTGAAGTTTTATACTAACCTCGTTATCAAGATCCCATCTTTTATCGTTGATTACCATCTCCACGGTTTCAACCGATCTTTTCCTTTTCTCTTTGAGGGCAGGCCTCCTGATTTCCAAGAAATTATCATCGGACATATTCTCAACCCCTTCATCTGGATTACCGATTTCTCTAACAAAACCAAGTTCGCATCGCTGAAACGTCTCTAATTCTTCACCAGACTCAAACCCTTTAGAAATTCCTCCATTTCTTCCTTCTCCTTCCGCGCCATCGCAACCCGCCATTCTGCTAAACCTTTTAGTGAATACTTGGTGGGCATTTTGTGGGATCTTCTTGAGCAGATCTCGATTCAGCATTATTTTAGCTCCAGCCTCCAGCCCAATTGAACAGAGTTAACTGAGTGACTTTTTGGATATGGGTATGGACTTGAACACGGCAATTTCTAATTCTTTCCATGGAAACGGCAGAAAGTTTGATTGCTCGTTGGTCTTTCTCGGTTTGGGAGGGAATGGTAGTTAACGGTTGAATGGTCGATGAAAGGAACGACCCGCTAAAACTATTCTTTATTTCTTCTATATTTTCTATTTATATCGCTTCAAAAAGCGGGGGAAAAAAATGATGACTTGAGGAAGGATTTTTAGAGCAACAAAAAAAAAATAAAAATGGTCCCCTCCCTCTCACAAATTTTTCTGTACAATTATTACAATAAAGGAGTTATACTCGTAAATCGGTATTAGTCTTTTACTTTTCCAAATTACAAGAAATGTTGAATAAAGTACATTTTTCTTTAATTGTAAATGTCTGTATCTTTTCAATAAATTAAAGTATAATCACATTATTGAAACGATTAGAGTTAAAATAAAATAAAGTATTACACATAAATCTAATTTCAACACAATTTTACGAAATACAAATGTTAGGGGTTAAGCCATACTGTGGCAGCAACTTGCGTATGAAACACAAATGCCCTCGGCAAAGGCTCCGCCGATGGATTTCCAAACGTTGAATCGTCTCATTGTGTGGCAAGTTAAAACCGCTCATCACATAGCTGGTCGCCCTTAGGTCTGCAGCTGAGTTCACAAAATTTTTACTTCCCTGTGCAAGCAATATACTCTCTTAATTAGCTTCCAAAAAATACACTTAATTGTTATTAAGAAAAATAAAAACTATTACGAAAAACTATTCAAAACTAACAAAAAAAACATATTACTACCTCCATCAAGAAAAAAAAAATGTTTACATTGAATTTTGAGATTTGTAGGAATTTTAGTACAAAACTTTAAAACTCAATGTAGGTTATTTTCTATGCTGAAGGGAGTACAAAACATTATTCATGGCTCCAAAATGGTCATATCATTAAAAAGCAAACTACATTATGGTCAGTATCAACTTCAGATAGTTACTCCTATAACTTCCTTTTACATAGAGGAGTATCAATGTAGAAGGGCCAAGATGGAATTGCTAGAGCAAAACATGGGGTTGTAAATTCTGTCGAGGCTGGATATCGATGGCTATCATGTGGTTCAACCATCTTGGTTCCCATGTTGTATCGCACCAAGCTTCTATTTCCTCCTTCATAGTGATCTTCTTCATAAGTTACTTCACAATCCAAATACACAATATCTGGATCAAATGGATGTAATGATGCGTTCCTCACATCCTTGATCTTCTTAATGGAATCGCCGCCTAAAAGAAGTACTGGGGTCACGTTCAATAAAGATATCTTCGATTCTGATTGTATGTTGAAGGCACCATTTGTTGTCCTCCTCCTGGAGTTGCCATACGTTGAATAAACTGCCATGTTCAAGATGTCTGATTTGACAAAACTTGAATAGTCCTTGAGAAACGCCACAATTCGAAGACTCGAGTTCATTTGACGCGCCTTTTGGAATTTCAATGAAGCGCAGCTTATGAGGATTCGTATAAGGATCATAGGCTATGATCCCTTCTATACTTATTTTTTCCCTGGTACGTTCTTCGCCTGTATAATAAAGAATATTGTCACGGACAACGGGTCTCACAGAACTGAAAATTAAAATTGGACAATCGTGAGAGTGCACTCTCAAGAGAGCCCATTCCCATGTTTCCGAGGAGAATATCTCAACCGCAAGGAAGTCTTCAACCTTAGGTTTACAACTTACGATGACGACTTTGAAACTAGTCAAAACTCCCGATTCAACACGCGTAATAAAACCAACATTGACTGCATCCAAAGAGATACTTAGAGGAAGCGAAAAGCATTGTTGGGTTACAACATTGTAGATGCAATCAACAGTTTGATACGTTACGACTACGTGATTCAGTGTCGTCCATGCATCTCTTCCTAACAAAAGAAACCCGTTACTGGCTGCTAGGATATGAATTGACCCCCGGGTTTTTGACAACTCTTTGAGAAGTGATTTTGGCAATGTAACCTTATGGACACTGGGACATTTAAAATAACTTTTTCTCACGCGTAACGCGATGGACGGATCGTTAAACAACTGAACCTCCGGATGGAAAAACACCAACGGGCGGCGAAAAGGCGAGACGTGTCGCCGGGACAAGTAAAAATTGCGAAAGGAAGGATCGGAAATAAGAGAATGCCATTGTTTCGATACGCACTTGAGCTTAAACACATCTTTAATTGAAAATCTACACAGCAAATCAGTTAACAACCACTCAGGTATGTAATTGTCGCATGTGCTTTTGGTAGTAGTTTTGGCCTTTTTAATTCTTTTCTTATTGCCGCTGCAAACCTCCATGGCATTGCCCGTTCTTCTTCTTCTTCTTCCGGTTTGCATGTTCTTCGACTAAATACAAGAGGAAGAATTAATGCTACTTATATAAGGCCGAAAATTGACAAAACTATCGAACCATATATGGATTTGGGTTTAATGACATTTCCATATTTGTGTTGGGATTCGGTTGAATTATGATTTGGACCAAAACTTTATGTGGATTTGGGTTTGTTTTTGGGCTTCAGTTTTTCCTATTCTGGTTATGATTTTCTTTTTGTATTTCTTCAGTTAATTATTATTATCAGGAAAACTAGCAAAATATTGGGGGAAATGTGAGTTTAAACAATCAAATAAATTTCAATTCTTTCGTGACAGAAACATTAGGCAAATGGATAATATATAGATGACAAAAACTGTAAGTGCATACTTTTTTTCCCCCTTGAGTAACTTTTCTTGTTTTTATGTATTGCATTGCTTCCGTCAATCCAGATATTCTAATTACAATCCCCTATCCTCCCAATTTACCCCTGTTAAAATTCTTCTCAAACAGATTTTAATTTAATTTCATATATTTTGTATTCGTGTATATATCACATTAGTTACTACTCCTTCTATCCCAAAATTATTGTCCAGTTTGATATTTCACTTTTAGTACAATTTGAACTAGAAATGAAAATCCAAACTGGACAATAATTATGGGACGAAGGGAGTATCTTATTTTACCACTATATCTCTATTGTGTACACCATTTTCTCTCTCAAAAAATCATATTCAAAGAGAGACCTAGCATTGAACTAATTAACCAACACTTAAAGGAAATTATTGCATTTTAATTTTTCCATAGAATTTTAGATTAATAATTTCTTATTGCTATGATCTAATAGTGTTCCTATCAACTGTGAGAAATTCTAACATTTCTTCTTAGCTATTCATTTAATTCTAATTGACTGAACAAGTAACACAAACCTGTTCTTAAATCCTTTTCCAACTAATTCAAACTTTTATCTTTCATAGATGCAGAAATAAATAAATAAAATCGTTAGTTATTGATCTTTTAGGATGCGGAAATGCCTATGTGTATATATCTACCCTTTTGCTGTATATGGACCAGAATATTCACTGACTATAAAACCACACGCTCGTTTGTACCATGTACAGTTCATCTTTTGGGAACTTTTATGAGTTGAACTATCTACCACGATGAAGACGCACAAGTCTTCCGGCGGTTTTCCGGTCTTTAATTTTTAATCAATGCTTCATCAATAACAAGAGAACATGAATATTTATGACATAGCTATATTAATCAACCTGCTCATAGTAGTGATTAATTATATATTACTCAATAGTAGAAGTACATCAAATCATTTTATGAAGTTCTTGAAGAAGGTAATTAATAGCATGCAAGGTATTACAGGTTTTGCTGTTAGTACATTGCACTATTGTATGCTTAGTAAACTCTCAGACTCCTTTGGTCCAAAAAGGATTGATATACTATTTTACAATTATTTTAGACGGAATAATTTACTCTATGAACATCATATTTTCACCATATCTTCTTTTTTACCTTTTTGGGTTACATTTACATACTCACTCCCCTCCTTATATATAAGGCATTTTGATTTTGTCCTAGATTTAACTTATTACGTATTTTTAATTGACAAAAAAATCTTAAAACTATATTTTCACGTTCGTTGTATTTTCTTGATTGTTATCAAATATTTTTAAGATTTTTTATCGATTAAAAATACGTACTAAGTTAAATTTAGGACAAATCAAAATGTCTTATATTAAGGAACAGAGTGAGTATATTTTTTGTCATTGTAGAAATTCTGCGAAGCCATCAAACATAGTAATTTCATCATATCTTCTTTCACCTTCTTGGGAAACAAACTTACACTTGCATCATATCTTGTCACTGCAGAAGTTCAGTCAACCCATCAAATCTACTTTTAGACTTCGATTGATCAGATTAATATAATTTTCTCCTTTTAAATTTTATTGTCTTATTTAATAACTTTTCTTTGGCAAACGGATAGAGTGCTTGTTTTGGTCGATCATAACATTGATATTGTTTTTAGCAATTGAGACTTGAACTATCGCTAAGAAGAGATTGTAACAGTACAACAAAGTGATAAAATATAAGGGACAATGAAAAGTGAAAGATAATAACATAGTGAGGTCTTGGTCGCATTCAACCTTGACAAGTATATACGAGATCATGAAGATAAGATACGGTGTCAAAGAAATTCAAAATGTAAAATGTGACACTACAAACCTTTTATAACCCTACTGATATTAATTTCCTCTTTATTATTTAATCTTTATAATTGATTTATCAATGAGTATGGTGCGAGATTTGGTGTAGGAATTGCAATCAAAGATTGTTGTTTAAAACTCGTTCGGAGTAATAAAAAAAAAAAACTCAGAGAAGTAACTTTTTTTTAATTCAATGTCAAACTATTTTCCCGTTTCAAAATAATTATTCTTGGAACAATAGAGTACTACTACATATTAGTAGCATCTAATTTCTAATGAACACAAAGGTTTGTTGAGTAGTTTAGAGTGATAAATGCTTCTGATTTAAATTACCAATATTGAATTATACTATGTACATGATCATTTTCAAAATTAGTCTT